TTAGTTTGCTATTTCTATATATAGTGTTATTCTTGCTAATGATACTTGTTTTAAAGTTTCAGGTTTGGGGACTACTCACTTGAGTCGTGATATATCCCTAGCCTCCGTGTTATTTATTCTTTAGTTTTGTTTTAGTTTACTTTTCATTAGCAAGATTGACTGTTCACTAAATTGTTTCGTAACTTTTTATCCTTCTTATTGTGTGTTTCAAGATTTCAAGACGAAGAGGAAGATTGGTAAAGGACATGAAGCTGGTGGGCTCTACTATTTTGACTTTGATTCACCTACTCAGGCTCTACAGACTTTGTAGTCCTTTTTTCAATGGCATTGTCGTTTTGGACATTCCTCTCTCCAGAATCTGCAGCGCCAAGTCTTAAGTTTTAGTTATGTGTCGTTTGTGTCTTGTAAAGCTTGTCAACTTAGTAAGCGTCACCATGTGTCCTTTCATTCTAGAGTTAATAATCGTGTGTTTAATCTATTTGAGTTAGTACATTTTAATGTATGGGGTCCGGATGAAATATCCTTATTTTGTAATATTTGTGGATGGTTATTCTCGTGTGACCTGGTTGTTTTTTATGAAAGCTCATTTTTTAATTATTCTTTATATTTGAGACATTTTGTAAGGAAATAAAAATCCAATATGACTGTCGTATTCGTATTTTATATTTTGATAATGCTCGAAAATATGAATCTGATCTCTTTTTAGCTTATCTTTGTAAAATTGACATTATTCATCAGACTTTATGTGCTTACACCTCTTCACAAAATGGTGTTACTGAGCGCAAGAACCGTCATTTGTTGGAAGTCACTCGTGCACTGTTATTCCAAATGAATGTTTCCTATTATTTTTGAAGGGATGTTGTTCTCACTGCTAGTCATCTTATTAATTGTATGCCATCTTTTGTGTCAAATGAGCAAAGTCCATATTCTGGCTTTTTCCTTGATAATTTTTTATTTTCCTTAACTCCTAAGGCTTTTTGGGTGTGTCAATTATGTTCACAACTTGGGTCCTGAGTTTGATAAACTTGACCGTCGGGCTACTAAATGTGTCTTTCTTGGATATTCACGCACACAAAAGGGGTATCGTTGCTATAGTCCTTTCTTTCATTGGTACTTCACTAGTGCTGATGTCACTTTTGATGAATCTGTTTAGTATTTTTTTGGCACCTGCTTAGCCTTTGGATATGAATTTTGGGTCGTCTCTTATACCACCGCCTCTTCCCTTATCGTCAAATATTCTGCTGCCTACTATGCTATCTTCTACTTCTCCACTTCGTGTATACTCTTGTCATCCTCGACCATCGACTAAGGTGCCCGTAACATTTTCCTTGTCGTCTCCTGATTCAGGTCCATTAGATAATTTAGACTCTTTAGCTGTTGCTCTTCGAAAAGGTATTCGCTCTTGTGTTATTAACTATCCCATTGCTCATTTTGTTTTATATAATACCTTGTTTTTTGTCTTCTCTTGTTTTACCTCTCAATTATCCAGTATCTTTATCCCTAAGCACTTACAGGATGCGTTGTCTGATCCGATTTGGAAGAAAGCTATAGAGGTGGAGATGGATGCTTTACATCGCAATAAGACTTGAGATCTTGTTCCTTTACCTCTTGGTAAATGAACTGTTGGTTGTCGTTGGGTATATATTGTTAAATTTAATTTGGATGGTTATGTAGAGCGTCTCAAAGCCCGTTTTGTTGCTAAGGGCTTTACTCAGACCTATGGTGTTGATTATGAGGAGACTTTCTTCTGTCGCCAAAATCTTTTATGTTCGTATATTGATTTCTTTGGTTGTTAATCTTGATTAACTTTTATTTCAGTTATATGTAAAGAATATTTTCTTACATGGTGACTTAGTTGAAGAGGTCTACATGGAGCAGCCACCTAAGTTTACTGCACAGGGGGAGTTTTGTAAGCATGTATATCGGTTAAAGAAATATTTGTATGGTCTGAAATAGTCACCGAGGGTATGGTTTGATAAGTTTTCAAATGCAGTTTTAGAGTTTGATTTTCTTCGATGTCAGACAAATTACTTTGTATTTCATAGACAAACGGATGGTGGATATGTTCTATTGGTGGTTTATGTAGATAATATTGTGATTATCGAAAATGGTTCTGTGGGGATTGCCAAGTTAAAAACCTTTTTGCAAAACTGATTTCATACTAGAGGAAATATGTACTTGACATGTTAGAGGAAACAGGTTTATTAGGTGACAGACCAATTGATATTTCTATGGATCCGAATCAGAAATTATTAATGGATGATGGTGCACTATTTGAGAATTCGGGTTGGTGATTGGGAAGTTCAATTATCTCACTATTACTCGACCAGATATTTTTCTATGCAGTCAATATAGTAAGTCAGTTTATGAGATGCCCTAGAGTATCATATTGGAAGCTAATCACTTGTATTCTGCGATATTTCAAACGTACTCCTGGCCTTGAGCTATTATATCGAGCTAATGAACGTCTTAGAGTGGAAGGTTTTTCAGATGCTGATTGGATTGTCTCTCTTTCTGATCGGAGATCAACTACTGGTTATTGTACTTTCCTAGGAGTTAACGTTGTCTCATGGAAGAGTAAAAAACAACCTGTGGTAGCGAGATCTAGTGCTGAGGCTAAGTATAGAACGATGACACATACAACGAGTGAGTTGACGTGACTACTACACTTTCTCTAGGAAGTTGACTTTTTAGTTCAAGTTCCTTTACAGTTGTTATGTGACCACCAGATAACTATTCGTATCGCTAATAATCCAATATTTCACGAAAGAACCAAACATATTGAGGTTGATTGTCATTTTATTCGAGATAAGATAGTAGCTGGAGATATTACGACTTTATTTGTGAGATCTGAAGATCAACTTGCGGATATATTTATCAAAGCATTGAGTCGTCCACGTCTTAGAGCCATGTGTTCCAAGCTTGGATTATATGATATATATAGTCCAACTTGAAGGGGAGTGTTAAGAGTATTAGGGTATTATGTAAATACTAGAGGGTATATACGTCTTTTGAATGATTACAAATTAACTATACATACAAGTGGTTTGTGAGAGGTTGGTTAAGTTTTGACCTCCATGTTTCTATAATATTTTGTTAATTCTCTCAACTTAACACACCCCATTATTTGTAAGTGTTAAGGGTTTTTGAATTTTTTTTTCCCGGAAGGTGAGGTTCTTGAAAATTTTAGGATTTCATGCTTTCGACATTTTTGACTCATGAAGTAGTCCACTTCCATTGGCCTCAGAGTTGATGCCAATATTGTCGTGTCTCCTAATGCAAACACATATATCTGAACTTCTGAAGCATTAGATATGTATTCTCCTATCGAATAATTACTAGAGAAGTCAACTGTGGAGCCAAGTCATTTTATTCAAAATCTAACCTCTCTGGAGTTATTTTTTATGATAATCAGATTTAATTTCCTTTTGTACATATCTTGCACCTCTTATGTTGATTAAGTTTTCTCTGTCTTTGCCTCTTAATCTTTCACATTTTCGTTCACTACATTACATTGGAAATTTACCCTTGTGATAGGATCCATGAGAGGGTATTTGGTGAAAACATGCCACGAGTCTTTTAGATGATCCACAATGTATTTACACAGAATCAGAATTGTAGTTGTAAAAGGCACATCAGTTGGCACTTTGCGGTTCACTGGGATACTGCCCTAGACTTGTGCTTGCTATGACAATAGATGAGTCACCATGAAAGTACCTGTGCTTTGCCAAATTCATGTTCTGTTTCAGACTCACCGACTGTACTAGACCTAGTTGTTTTCATTCAGCTCTGAGCTGACTAATACTACTGGGATATGTAGATGGCTCGCTTTACTCAGGATAAAAAATAAGGAGCTTCTGGCATTATTACTGCTATATCCTGTATCTTTTATTGGAAATTTACTAGTCCAAAGTGGTTCAGCTAATGCTTCAAGCAAGAAATATCAACTGCAACACCAGTTGCTTCACTAAAAGAGCCGAAATTGTCAGTACATTGTTGAGTGTCGGGCTGACATTGAGAGAGGGTTACATCAGTGAAACTTTCTTTTTATTGCCCTGCTTAAATGTATAAAATTGACCTGCTTTACACTCATTTTGAATGATTGAAAGGGCTGATGGACTATAGGCTGAAATCTTAAGGGCGGTTGACTGAGAAAGCAATGACCATATATACATGCATGCATATACATCTCTATTCACCTATCAACGTAGGAAAGTATCAAATTTTGAGTGAGAGGGCTTGGGAAGCCTTCCCTCTCCATTTGCTTAATTAATAGATTTTTGAGTTCTTGAATTGTAAAAAAAAAATGGTTTGCTCCAGTCAAACTCCCACGTTGCCCATGTAACCACTCATTTTATTTTTGTGTTAACATCATTTCTTATCTCCTCTCTTCTTGTCTTCCTACGACTATCCATGTCAAAAGTTATTCAGTCCACTAACCGGTAGATTTCCCACAATATGATGTGGGGTGGTGCCTTGAGTGGGGGTGATGTGGCAGGGATGCCAGGGTGATATAGCTGGTGTGAATTGTGTGCATCGCACAGGTCACGTGCCATGCCAATACATATTTGATACAGTTTTCTTTGAAGAGGGATTATCAACCTAGTCCTGCTTTGTACCGCTGGAATTTTAGTAAGGCCTGGAAATTAACGTAGTACTCTAAATGGATTGAAGGAATGAAATGGCCATTCTAGAAATTATGCAACCTTAGGATTCATATTGTTCAAGTTTACTGATAGTCCATGTAGCATATGTTGCTGACCTTTTGTCCATAAAACTCGTTCGACCTGCTTAGCTAGTTTTTGAAAGAAGAGATCATGTTACTTTGAGGCATCAGTTTTTATTAATCTTATTTCAATCTGCTCGATAAAATCTCCAAGGTGGAAGAACCAGATAGGAAGAGCTTAAAGTGTTGAGATGACGAAGTCCTGGATATATGCAGAAATGCATGCATATAATGCACCTGGACAGTCCTGATGGTTTCACTAATTGAGCTAAAAATGTCTGCTATATGTAGGGGTGTAAACATAGGGACTCCGGTGGTGCTTGAACTTTCCAATCTTTCATGCGCGGATGTGTGGCCGTATGTGGATTGATCATTTTCTTGTGCTATGTCGCTATGCTTTGTCTTTATTTTGGTGGTGGTTTTACATATTATTTGCTCAGCACACCTTTTAGACACGAGTTGCCTGGAGAGCCGCACTGCAGCTAGATGATAGTGGCTTGTGCAGAACTTGTGGCCAACGTATAAATCACTACCACTGAAAAATATGCATTGGATTTTTGTTAATGTTGATTGAAAACCATATACATGAACTTTCTTTGCAACTGTATGCTGTATCTGAACAATTCTTTCCATCTTGAAGCAGTTGGTGATGTAGGAATACTTTTATTTTTTTATTTTTGTTTTCTAGTTTGATTCCCTATTTAAACCTAGACATTGTTCAGGCAGAGATTGCACGCCAAGAAGCAAGGCTGAAGATGGAGAGAGAGAACCTTGAGAAGGAGAAAAGTGTGCTGATGGGAACTGCATCAAATCAGGATAACCAAGATGGCGCTCTTGAAATCACTGTAAGTGGGGAGAAGTACCGATGCCTCAGGTTTGCTAAGGCAAAGAAGTGAGGCTGAGGCGTTTCCAGGATGGGATTAAAGAAGGGCGCCTCCCTGTTCTAGATACTTCTTTTGTAGGGGCAAGTTACATACAGAAAGCCAGTTGCCGATTAAGAATTTGCCAACATTTAATTATTATGTATGTGAACTGGGATTCCCTGGGTTTGATCCAACCATGGGCGATTACATTGATCTGTACAGTAAACTGAAACGAGTTATTGATGAAATCTGGTGTTTCAATTGGATTTTAAGTGGAGGAAAAATTACTGAGAGACAAGTCTCTCTCTCTCTCATGGCGAAGGATGATAAAAACAAGCAAACTTTACAGGCTCTACAACAGTAATTTCCTTTCATTTTAATTCTTTTTCAAAAAAAAAAACACAAACTTATTGTAACTTTCTTGATACTTTTTTCATTCCAATCCGTTTGTACATCAATTCAATTGGGAATGGGAACTACATAGAATTTTGAATTATTACATTAAAAATATATATATTTTTTTTGAAATCACATTTTATCATATGTCATTTATAATCAATTTTACACATGTCCAATAACTAATAATCAGTTATTGTAATTTTTTTTTTTTTGGAAAAATTCAGCTTTAATAACGTTTACAACTTGATTTCATTCTCTAACTTT